GCTATTCTGCTACGTACTTTTGGGGTCCACGTAGGCCTGAGTAGGATTTAGGCCGAAGGAACTGCAAACCCTAAATGATCCTGATGCAGGAGCTTCTGATCGATGTCGAGAAGCCTGAAGAATGATTCACCGCTGCCATACGGCGATGACAAACCTCGCCGAGTGAATGTAACATCAGAGTATGAATACCTTGCAAGCCGAAAGCAACCTTTACAGATAATCGATAAGCAAGACAATTCGGGGCATGGCAGAGGCTGACATTGTGAAACATGTTGTTCATTTGTGCCTTCGTCGGTATCAATACACACGCTAAACCCTAAAGCCTAAACGGTCATACTCCCGAAGAAGTGCCGTGAACTTCCGCATTGATCTCGCGCTGATTCTGTAGCTCGCGGTCGCTGCGGAGAGATGACAGCAATCTCCAAGAGACTCCAAAATCCCCCACCTTCGGACTCTAGGGGTTGAGGATTTAGGAGTTTCTGGGCTTTGGAGCACCATACTTGAATACTTTTTCTTTCTTAAAGGAGCCATTATGAACAAGTTTGTACTTTTGTCTCCCTGGTTACTGAGAAGCCCAGGTTTTTAGGGCTGAATATAACTCTGCAACAATATAAGAGCTCCAAAAAGTTGGAAACCGGATTGAAGCCAAATAGTGCTGGGATTCCCTATACATTACTCTTAAGGATTGAGGCTATGGGGTTTCCAACTTTTGGGCTTCTACGGTAAGAGCTCCAAAACCTTCTTCGGCATATTCAGGCTGCGACATTACAGTAGAAGCCAGAAAGTTGGAATATCATTATCGTAACCCCATTGAGGTAAATTGTAGGGGATCCTACCATCAATCCATATTCCAACTTTCTGGAGTTCCCTTTAAGGCATGTTGGAGTCTCTTGGCTGAACAGGTTTTCCTCAGCCTTTCTGCGCTGAAGCGTTTGCGCGATGTCTGTTTAAGGCACCCTTTTGGGGTCTTGGGGTAAGGGGTCGGGGATCTGGGGTTTAGCATTGAAGGTTTAGCTTTGAGGGATGAGTTCAGGGTCTGGGGTTTACGGTTTTAGTCTTCGGTTAGTTGGGAGGTGAGGCAGGGCTTCGGAACCATTGATGTATGTCTAGTGTCCAAGATCAGAAGCTGGTGCAAAGCCGACATCAAGAGCTCCACACGGCCTCACACTGCCAAAGGCAGGGCGACGGGCCAGTGTTTATGATAGCAGCCTGAATGCCAGCTGCTGCATGAGCGAGAGACTAACTAAGAATCCACAATAGTCAGGGCAACCAGAGAATCAGTAATAGTTATGCTTGTTGTGCATCTGATGTGCTCAGACACTCAATCTTGCAGCTTGCCTCAAAAGTGAAACCCGGCTGCAGGACCTAAGCTGACCCTGAACCGATACTACAAGATATCGACCCTCCCCCTCCCAACCTGGGATTTTCGAACCCTAAGAACCCGGGACCCAAGTACAACCCCGAAGCAGAAAGATCCTGAATGCAAGTTCGCCCGCCCAAGTCAGGGAGCATAGTTTACTAGAAAGCCCTATCTAGGAAGCATCCCAGCTGGGCTCGCTGCAAGGACGACTCAAATGAAAGCCTTCATCTCTCGTTGCTACAGCATACTTCTACAACCCTACCTGCCCTACCTAAATTTTAATCCCACGCCCTCAACCCTACACCCCAAACCGACTATAACGTAAAGGAGAATGTTTTGGGTGCGAAGGAACTCGGTAGATGAGCAAGGGTGAAAGCTGAAGCAGCTGGAGCCGGGTTGCTCGGAGCGTACATCCAAAAAGGAGTGGATGCCAGTATGCCTTGATTTTGGGTACATGTAGGTGCCTCACTGATGAGAATGAAATTTTGTGGGGGGGATATTACGCTAAATTGTCATTGTTGTGGCCCTGTATCTAGTAAGTAACCCGAGCCCTCCCACACGACGACTATATACTCTTCCTGCTACTACCACCTCACCAAACGCCTAACTCCTCCCGCAAATCAAGCCTTGAACCCTTACCCCCCCCCATCCTATAGACAGAAGAGTCCGGAGGCCCAAAGCCCTAATCGCCCTTTAGGGCTTAGGGTTTACGGGTTTAGGGGTTTTAGAGTTTAGGGTTTAAGGGTTTAGGGTTAAATCCCGAAAGCCCTAAAGTTTGCCCCGACAGGAGACAGACATCGGCAGCTTGGCACGATGTCTTTTCGAGCGCAGACGGTTTCACCATCGGTGCGTTGAGGAGTTAAGGGGTTTTAGGGTCCCAAAGGGTCCTAAGTACCTTTCTGGGGGGTACTTGCCTAAACCATAATAGTAATTCCTATGAAAGCAACCCAACCTTCTACTATATAAGTACTCGGGACCCTTAAAACCTTAAACCCTTATAGAAGCCCTTATAGAAACCCTTACAGGAATCCTTCAAGGGAACCCGAGAGGTACTTAAGACCCTTTGACGGTGCAATGTAACAACCTGATTAAGAAACACTGGGCCTATAATTAACCCCAAACTAGTAAGATTCATATAAGGAACCCTAATAAAGGCCCAAGGTTTCTTAATCAGGTTTCTACATCAAACCCCCCAAAACTCTTGTAGTACCCTTTAAAGGAACCCTCTAAAGGAACCTTAATAAAGGCACAAGGTTTCTTAATCAGGTTCCTACATTATGATAGTACCCTTACAGATCCCTTGTAGTAACCCTAGTACACCCCTTTTTAAAGGAACCCTACTGAAGGCCCCAACGGTTTCTTAACCAGGTTCCTACATTAGGGCTGGAGGTCGCTCTCTGAAACTCCCAAGGGCTGGGAGTGCCAGGGCCCTTACCCCAAGGGTCCGAGTAATGTAGGATCCCTTCAAGGAGCCCTTTAAAGGAACCCTAGGGTCCCCATTATTGAGTAATAAGGTATACCCTGAAGCCTTCCGATTCGCGTCCGGACCCTAAAACCTACAAAAGAGGACGCTGTGGGAACCTATGGTTTTGTAGTTTTCGGTATCGGTTGCATGGTTTTCGGAAGTCTCACAGCGTTCCCTTCGGTAGCATATAATAGTTAGCTTGCATTTGGCAGACCCTAGGCACCGAGAGCCAAGATTGCGCTCCAGGACTTTCTCGGCGATCTTGGTTCTTGATTCCCGGGCCCGGCCAATTTTAGAATATTAATATTTTAATATTGGCCACCCCGAAAACCAAGAACCAAGATGGCCCAGGAGAGCAATCTTGGTTCCCACGGCCCAGGGCCGGTCAATATTAAAATGTTAATATTCTAATATTGGCCGGGCCCGGGAACCAAGATCGCTCCCCAAGAGTTTCTGGGCAATCTTGGTTCTTGGTTCCCGGCCTCCCAAACATTAAAATATTAATATTTTAATATTGGCCACCCCCGGGAACCAAGAACCAAGATGGCCCAGAAAGTCCTGGAGAGCAATCTTGGTTCCCACGGCCCAGGGCCGGTCAATATTGAAATATTAATATTCTAATATTGGCCCGACCCGGAACCAAGATTGCTCCCCAAGACTTTCTGGGCCATCTTGGTTCTTGGTTCCCGGCCTCCCAAATATCAGAATATTAATATTCTAACATTGGCCGCCACCGGGAACCCTTTACCATAAACTCTAGGAAACTCTATCCTGGACAGTCAACCCCGCTGCAGGTCTCTTGGCTGCAACTGCGTGACTCTTGGCCGCTCTTTGGAAATCCTTCCTTGTAGAACTCGCATGACGGCGAGATTCGAATTTCAAGACTAGCGCGCCTAATCCCGCGGATTCTGCTCGAAGTACGCCTGTTAGCGATCGCCCTGCAGTCGACGATATCTTCTTAGTTAGTATAGCCACGCAGGGCTTCAAAGTCAATGGCCATGCAATCTTGGACGGACGTCAGGTGTTGATAGCACTCGAGCCCGAAGCGCCCGCAGGTCCAGTGCGAGCACAGAACACATATGACAACCCACCCGATTCAGAGGAGTTCGTGGCTGCCCTTACGCAAGGGCAGAAACAATGTCACCCATCACGACTTCCAATCACATCGCAAGAGGTGCGAGTTATGATATACAATGTGCAGTGCCAGCTGAAACTCCGTTCCAGCAAAGTCAAGTGGTCAGAAGCGGCGCAGAACAAGTTGATGCAGCTGTTGGGAAAACCCAAGCAGAAGCCGTGCAACAGATCCAGTCAGGGAGGGCCTCTGGCTCTCATGGATGCCTCACCAAAGTCAATAGACGTCCCACCCAAAGCCAGATCCGCCAATGAGCCTCTCACCATTGGGAATCAGGACGGCGCCAATACGAATGACGTGGAGCACATGGATGTCGACGACGGCCGCGAAACCAACATGGCCGACAAGCACGTGGAGCTGGACAAGAAGCACGTGTTTGTTGAGAAGGACCCCGTCACCCGAACGGACGGCGACCAGCCCATGCACATCGACAATGACAACCTGCAGGACAGCGGCACGGAGCACAAGCAGGACATGGACTACGCCAACGGCAACGACAATACCGCGAGCATGGACACGGATGACAAAAACGATGCGGGCGAGAACGGCGACAACACCAAGGAGGAGGACCACGTGGACAACCATGTTTCGGACGGCGAGTGCAGTTCATCTTCAGACTCCTCCAGCTCATCGTCCTCATCGGCATCCACGAGCAAGCGCTCTCTCAGGAAGCGCATCAGAACACTTGAGTCCCAGACAGATGTTCTTCAGAGGAAGGTCGCGGTGCTGGAAAACGACCTGGACGAGGTGAACAAGGACCTCTACTTGGCCAATGAAGCACTAGGCTGTCATGACGGCTAGTCTGGTGTTATGCACACTAGGACAGACTGCATCGTCCGGAGGTTATGAAATACTGCAAATCAACCTTGAATGCTTTGCATGCGGGTCATCGTGTTGTAGCATGTAGCAGCACCATTACGGCATATTGCCTTTGCTTCACTGCAGCCTTGAGTAGCAACTCTGAGTAGTTTCAGTCCGGGCCTACCCTTTGCTTCTGTACGATCAGCGGTATGGCCTTACCAACACGAATGCTAAATGACGCCATGACGAAGTACGGCTCGAAGGAATGGGCTTTGATCGACTTGCCACAGCCGGTCTACGTGAACAAGTCTCTTCCCAACGCATCATGCGACTTGACATTATCTGCCTTCCAGCAGCATGCTTGTCGTTTGGACGTCGCCAAAACGTGCACTATGATCTTGGACGCTCACTTCAACATGCCAGAGATTGGCAATCTCGCCGCTGTTTGCCAGCGACTTACCAAGCTCGATCACTCGGGTCTCCCGGCAACGCTACAGCCTGCCCTATCACTACCTCATGGATGCACAGTCTCGTACATCATCAACAATAACCACGACGGCACCATGGACGTTCTTCGCATCTTGAAGTTCGCGGCCAAGCTTACTGCGAAGGAAGCCAAAGACCTCTGCACAGGCCATTGCCTATTCCCAGCCTTTCGCCCAGGACCTTGGGCTTGGTCGAAGGCCGTGCACTCCCTTTCAATCGATTGCCCGGTCATCACGTGGTTTGGTGGTCCTTGGAGACGAAGGAAGCCAAGAAGTCCACCGCACCCCAATGGACACCAGAGGAGGACGAGCTCCGCAAAGGTGTAAGCTTTGTCAATCGCAATGCACCTGAGGACGACTCAGAGAACCAGCAGTACCTTTGGATATTGACAAACATCAGACCAGACAGCGGGTCGCCCATTGCGGGGTGGCCCGAGGGGAAAGTGATCCGCATGGCGCAAAATAAGTCTCGAGGCACGGTCGGCGCCACCTCATTGAGCTTCTTTCCGTTTACAGTCAGAAGCCTGAAACCGTTCATGAGCGAGTTCCTCTTGCCGCTAATCGGTCCACTGCTAACTTCTTATGGCATACTCACCATTGGATGGCCAGGGGTAGGTAAGACCCCATTCCTCATCGTGCTAAGTTTGGCGCTGGGCCGCTACCACATCCAACGGCTAAACTTGGAGGGAGTGATGCCGGCATGGCGCCGTGCCAAGGGCATCGATAACTTTCGTCACAAGACCGGGCAGATCCAGGAGGGGTTGATTCTCGATGATCCGTCCATGGACCGGCTTGATGCAGCAGATGTGAAGTCATGGCTCACGGCCGAGGAGGATCAGAGCTGTAGCAGCCGCTACACAGATGTGAAATTGGTACGGAATGGACTGCGGGCCTTGTCTGCGAATGATTTGGAGGATGTGGATGAACCTCCCCATGACCCTCGACGCACCAGCATCACTCCTACTGAGTTCTTCAAACTCGTCAAGAAGTTCTTCAGCTACTACAAGGAAGCAGATATCCTGGCAATCCTCATGCGATGTGTAGTCATGGTGTTTGGGAAGCATGCGTTCTATCTTAGGTTGCCGAGCCAGGATCAGACGGCTCCCATTCACTGCATTCACCAGGAAGATCTTCATCTCGACCTATTCACGGAGCGAGACATGCCCTACTACGCCAAGTGCAAGGTTGGTGTCCAGGAGTTGCCCCCCATGCACTCGGACGACGTAGATTGGGAACAAGACCTTCTGCAACGAGGCATGCAGGAACTACAGCACGCTGGTCGTCCGGAAACGTATCTTCGCGAAGTCAACCAAGCCATTGCTACAAGGGTGTTATCGTCAACTATGACCGATACTGCTGTTCATCTACCGGCATCCCCATCGACTGATGAGGAGAGCCGCGTGCCAGTGCCACATCCCGAGGCTCTGCCAGTTGCTTGTACAAACCCTCCCCGCAGGATCGGCACCTTCAACTTTCCTCCGAGCAAGAGACGCTTGACTCAAAAACGTCAGTGTCTACCGAAATCCACGAGGGTGCTGAAGGCCATGTCCCAAACGATCAGGCAACATCAAGTGGAGCGGGCCGTGCCGCTCCTGAAGATGATCCGGATGAGGACGCTGCCCGTGACATGCACGATTAGATGTTTCACCATCATTTTGTTGGCTCCGGGCCAAGATGGCAACGCTAGGGAGGCGGTCTGTATGAACAGGACTCGACATGATGACCTCTTCAGTGGGTTCGCTTGGACCTGCGTGTGAGTGCTCCTCGTGAAGTGATTGTCTCCGACTCTATCACTTGTCCAGTGGCTGATTAGCTTTACTTTCCTGCCATAGCCGCGTCCTGTGCCCGCCATGAAGCGCCCGGCAACCCTCAGGAAGCCCAGTGCCTCCTTCCATAAGAAGATCCACAAGGGCGGCAAGAACAAAGGTTCCTTCGTGTTCCCTTCAGACGAATGCCCTCTTCATTCCGCCAGGAGAAAATCGTTGAGGCAATTTTGATTGGCAGCGAAACAATAACCGATGTGAACACTGTTTCCAAGCAGTGCAACATGTGCCGTAACACTGTGCGGCACAACCTGGTCACCCTGGAAAAGAGTTGGTCAACACCATGTCGTTAGAGGAAATGCGAACCACGGGTGCCTTTTTCGTCACTTCGAAGACTGCTTTCTCCATCCCCTTCCTGGAGCTGACGTATCTTCGATTGTTGCGGGGCAAGCTTGCGCCAGGACAGGAAGCAGCTGTGCTACAGCTCTACCATGTCGGGGACGACAGACTTCCGACTGGACGTCGTCCTCGAGAGCTTCTTCTGCATGCCCTCGAAGGCTTTGCGGTGGCCCAAAGTACTCCCAAGCAGGCAAGCAACTTCAACATGGCCTACCCCGCGGCACACCTCACGAAGATGGATAAAGTCCTCCTCTTTCCACCATCGGATGCGGTGGACGCGATTTGCTTTGATGGCCACTTCGGCATCCACCGTGGCCTATGCCCAGTCGATCCGCCAAGGACGGTGCGACTTAAGGGGCACCCCCGCAAGAAGATCCTTAGAGAACATGACCGCAGCTGCACTTGCCGGTCGAAGGATTCTATTCGGGTGGTTCTCCCTCAGCGAACTGCCAGCTGGCATTTCGCAGTTGATCCCTCGAGCCGGAGAGTCCTTGGAGCCGTGGAGCATGTTCAAAACGAAAACAACAAGGACAAGGTTCGTCTCCTCAAGGCGGTGATGAACATGGACCAAGTGGAGGCCGACTTGCTGATTCACGACGATATCTGCCACTTCCAACAGTATGCCTCTCGCAAGAAGCATGCAACAGACTTCAACTCCATTCGCTACTACGTGGTCGATGCATTCCAGGCACCTAACCACAGGTGTTCAAAGTCAACTTGGACTCCAGCTGAGCGAAGGCGCTCTCGCAATGTCAGAACAAATGTATCCGAGTCCTTCAATGCGTGGGTTCGCACCTTGAATTTCTTTCTTAACAACCTCCGTCCCAAGTCCCATCACTTCTGGGTAGAGGAAATGTGTAACTTCTACAACAACAATCTGCAGCCTGTCCCGATTCGCATTTCCCGACGCAGAAATGTCCTTGGCAGAGCCAAGAAGATGTTGAAGCGTCCCGCAGCTGTGCAGATGTTGAAGCGTCCCGCTGCTGTGCAGATGTTGAAGCGCCCTGCTGCCATACAGAAGCGTCCGGACAGTTCTCGTTAGGTTTGTGCGGTGCGTCGCAGTTTGAAGGTTTCAACCTCATAGCAAGTGGTGCCTCCAGTCTGGCTGGAAGCCTCTGCATCCACGTATTGGGCTCAAAAGACATGCAGCTGCTGAGAAATCCAATAAAAACTGCTGCACATGCTCTGCAGTCCGTGCAGTGGTTGGCAGGTAGCTCCTGAAAATAAAATCAGCAGCCCGCCCCCAACCCCAGTCATCCAAGGTTACTGGTCTGCAATGATGCGTCGCAACTTGGAGGGCTTGAGGGTTTTCCGGTTTTGGTTTGATAGTTCTATGTTTGCTTTTCCTTGGTACGTCGTTCCCGACCACTACAAACCTTGAAAACGATAGGTTCCCACAACGTCCTCCTCCCCAAAACCTAATGTAGGAACCCGATTAAGAAACCGTGGGCCCTTATGTAGGGCCTTTATTAGTGTTCTAGAAAGGTTCCTTTAAAGGGGACTATAAAGGGTGCTAAAGGGTTTTGGTGGGGGTTTGATGTAGGAACCTGATTAAGAAACTTTGGGCCTTTATTATGGCTCCTTATATGAATCCTACTAGTTTGGGGGCTATAGGCCCAGTGTTTCTTAATCAGGTTCCTACATTACCCGGCTACTCAAACCTAGGACCTAGGATCAACGAGGGTGTAGAAGACTCCAATATCCCCTAGTTATAAGGTATATACCTTGAATCATCTTAGGGATCCTACTGTAATTTGAGGTATGTTCCTGAATCAAGGGATATTGGAAGGTCTGGGTAGTAGGGCTCTAGCTACCAAACACCAATGGAACTTGGGACCTAGGCCTTAAGCCCTCAAAGCACTATTCCACAGAATTGTACTATTTGGGTACTGGGGATCCACTTGGTTAGAGGGCCGGCCTCTCATCAGGGTTTAGCGTTCAGAGCAAGGCTTAGGTTTTAAGGTTTGAGGCTCAGGGTTTTAGAACTTACCCCAAGGTTCCAAGTACCCAATAGTCATATACTCTCCGAAATCCTAACCTACATAACTACGTACGACCCTAAAACCGACTACCAAACTATTGTGTCCTTTGGGCCCCTTGGGTTGTATAGGGTTAAAAGTTAAGGGTCTTTGATGAAGCGTCTTTAGTCTAGCAGCTTCTGACCAACCCGAAGGGTCCATGTACCCAAGTAGTAGATACTTAGGCCCCAAAGTACCTGTGTAGGGACTACTTTAAGGCTTTAAGGCCAGTTCCTACTATTTGGGTACATGGCCCCGGCCCCTTACGGCAAGACAGATTGGGATGCAGAATTCAGCGTGTTTCTTGAGGTTTCCTTTGCCAACAGGAGGACGCTCAAGCAGGGCATTCTGTACAGATGTGCATACAAAAATAGGCGCCGCGATACTTACCTCACATTATTTTGTTGGGTTCCTTATTATACCATATATTATATACTTACTATTTTGGTGGGTTCGTTATTATACCAAATATTTTAAATTGTAGTATATAATGGGCCCCAGGACCCTATTCTAATCATTAAGGCCCCTATAGTATGTCGTTTGCCCGTGCTCGTCGGCGGAGCTGCCTAGCGACTGCATTTCCGGACACCGCTCCCCAATGCTCGTAGTGGAAAAAAACGATGTGTTGCGCTTTGTCTGCCTCCGAAGTCAAACCCTAAACCCCTCCGAAGTCAAAGTCACAGCCAGCACGTCCGGGGCCGATGGGTTACGACTCACCCTATGCCTCCAGGAACCTTACCATTGGGTCCTTAAGGGGTCTAGGGCCCTAACTATGAGGTCCTTGGAAAGATAGGCTCAGTCAAGACTAGAACCTGAACCCCAAAAGTATGTAGAATCATACACGTAGCCTTTTACAGGTATTGGACCATTTCTTTACCTACTTTTGAGGGTGCAGGAAGAGGTTTGTGGCAGAGACAGAGACAGAGAGAGAGAGAAAGAGAGTGCATAGGTTGAGGGAACCCCAAAACGTGAATTCGCGGGGTTTACCACCTAATAGTGAATCCTCTTGAATCTAACTTTATCCCCAGAACCCCAAACCCTAACCAATTTACTCAACGCCGCTTTGAACCTTAACGCCACGCGTTAGTAGAGTTTAGGGTTTACAAAGGATTTGCAGTAAACGCCCTACCCAAAGGCTCCATGTACCTTTACAGTAGATACTTAAGCCTTAAAGGGGTCCCTATATGGGCACTTTATAGCCTAAGTATATACTATATGGGTACATGGAGACTTAGGGCTACCTAGACCTCCATGTACAGGACTCATATAATGAAATCAAAACAAGGAGCCGTAAGAATGTCTGAACTGAAGCCCTCGAACCTAAACCCCCGAGACTTTGAAGCCTAACCCTCGAATTTCGGATCCCTGTGTCCTAGTATAGGGGCCTCATTAGTTTCAATCGGTTTTTGTGGGGTGTACTGCAGTGTAGCTGTATAACTGCATAGCTTCGTAGGATTTACAGCGGTAGTGCCCTTGCATAGATCCCCGATGGTCTTCAATGATGGGTATTCAGGGTATGATACAGGTCGTTGAGGGATTTTGACTCTAATCCGAAGAAGCCCAGAGAGCCCAATACCCCTTATTTACGGAATATACCTTGAATCACTGGGGGCTTAATACCATGATTTAAGCTGTATTTCTTAATTAAGAGGTACTGGGCTCTCGGGGAGCCCCAAAGCGTAAGAGCCCTAAACCCAAACGCCTGTTGCCCGGATGGTCTTCGGGCTTCAGAAACGGTTAATGCGGCCCTTTGCACAAAGCCTCAACCCTCCAACTCCACCGTAAACCCTAAACCCCAAGCCCTTGAGCCCCTAAAGCTTAAGCCCAAGCCCCAATATAGAGGCTTCAATGCTTATACGATTCCCTTATTAAGGCCCCGCCCGCACCCCTCCGAAAAAGAGGCTAAATCCCTGACAGAACCACTTTTGGAGAGCCCGGAAAAGAACGTTTAACGGAAGTCCCTAAACCTAAACCCCACATCCTGACCCTGAGGGTTCAAGTACGCAAACTCTACGGCTATAGGTGCCAACATCCGTTCAAGATGTGCAATGCGGGACCTCAGCCCTAAGCCCTAAACCCTACTATTCTGGTACTTGGACCCTCTATGGTTACAAAGTGGCGCTGGCACCCTCGCAGGTTTCCTCCCCTTAGACCTGAACCGCGACGGTCATCCCGATCTTCTGGTGGCAGAGCCCCACGGCTGCCTTTTAAGGTTAAGGGTTTAGGGTTTAGGGTAATTAAGCGGGTTCGAGGAGAAGAGTAAGCTTTTGGGCGTAACTATGTTGTGGCAGAAGTGCCACAAGGAGCGCGAAGGAATCGTCTTACGAGATTCATATAGGCTTCAAGAGACCCTTAGGAATCCTTATAAGAGCCTCTCGCAGCAAAGCTTTCAAAGTGCAGGGCTTTCAGGTTTAGGGCCTGAAATGGGCGACCTCAAGTTCCAAGTCGTCGGTCGAGCTTTCGGCTCGCGAGCTCCGAGCCAGGGTGGTCGAGCATTTCAAAAAACACACCGACCACTATGAAGCTCTGCATGACGGCCTGGACCCTTGCGACCCGAGTGCCAAGTGCGATTGGGCG